TAATAATTATTCAGTAGGACACCCTTTCACATATTTAAACATGCTTCTCATATCCCCTCTCCACCTTATATCCTCCAAGCTAAACATACTCAGCTACTCCTCATGGGTCTTGGCTTCCAAATCTTTGATCATTTTGTTGTCCATTCTCTCAACACATTCTAGCTTCATGACATCCTCTTCTTCTAATCCCCATGCCAAGTGCCATCCCTTGACCTTTGACCATTTTGGCGATCCTTCTCTGGACACCTTCCACCTCACCAATGATCCCCTTGTTCCATCCCCTGTGCCCAGTGCCACCCATTGACCTGGCTGGGTTCCAGTCGTAGTTTCCCTTACCGGGCAGTGGGTCCATGCAAGCGTTGCCACACTCAATTCTGCAGCACTTCTTCATGCCACGGCAATCACTGTCTCTTGAACAGCGAATGAAGCAAGGATCGATCACTCCTGGAGGGGTTTTTGCAGGACAGAAGCCTTCTTTCCCTGGAAGAGCAAATGGAGACATGTCAGAGGGACAGAGAATTAGTGTCATGAATGACTTTTCAATAACTTTGAAGCACAGGTTCTTTTTATTGCAATTTCCAGTGTACATCAGACTGCAGAAAAACATTTAGACAAAGAATGACATAAGACATACAGACATACAGATTCTATGCAACTACATTGGATTTACAATTCCATGGCTAACAGACAAACAAAGGAGGAATTACAATTTCACTCAACATTCACACACAAGTACACGCATTCATCCACATGCATCCAAAATATTACCATACCCTTTTCTACCTCTTTGGAGAAGCACCTCTTAGGCCAGGCCCTGCTTTCCTGTAGCCTGCCAATGCATAGTTCCATAACTTTCATAATGCCAAAACGTTTTCCTTGAGAACAATACCAAGGACTAGATCCCTGTTTTCTATACAGCAGACCCTGACTCCCTGCACAAAGACTAAGACTCCAAAAGCACTTCTTCCTCTTCCCTTGAGAAAGAAGCCCCAAAGGGACCAGACTGCTCCCATGCAAATCTGCCATTCTCCATGGTACACTATCTCTCTCCTTCCCATGGAGCAGAGCATGGCGGGTGGAACAGACTCCTCAGGTCTGCCACACTTTGAGCATTATTAGACTGAGTCTTTTATAGGAATATTCTACTGATATTAGTCCCAAAGTTGTAAAGTAATGATAGACGTCTTCCATCCTGGCTCCATCTCAGTTTCCTGGCCAGATGTTGATCTTCTTTGATTGGTGTTGACAAACACAAGGCTTGTGTTGACTTCCTTCTTAACATAAGGAATGTTGCAAACATTTCTGTTATCACTGTCCCAGTTCTTATCAGAGTTTACTTTTCAGTTCTTATTAGCAAGTTTTAATTACAGTCCAGCAAGCAGGTAGTTAGTCATTACAGGCCTCAAAATTATACTGGCGTCTCCAAAATTATTAATCCCATCCATACATTCATCTTCAATTCTTTCATTCATTCCCACACATCATATTAAATTCACATTTATCAAATCTGCACATTGAATTTCTTATTACGTTAGAACCAGCTGGAGGTTCTGGTGTAGGGATCTCACAGTTTCTTTCCATTAGAACAGAACCAACCTGAAGCAATCTTGCAGAGAAAACCCACCAAAAGGTTCACTTTAAAATGGGCAGAAATTGGAAACAACTTCAAGACACACAGAAGAAGGAAAGAATTCACCACTATTCTTTCCATCCCCAGCAAAGTGTTTAACCCATTTGTGGGCTAGTGTTCAGCACCCTGGAGGACTCCTTTCACATCTCAAATATTGATGGGATGGTTGGATTGGATATGGTTCTCATCCTCCTGTTTTCCTGGCATGAGGTTCACTGCCAGGATAAAAATTGTACTGCAAGACAAAATAACCTTAATCATGAAGAATAAGCTTTCATAGCCGGAATCATTGGGTTGTGTGGTTTTTCGGGCTATATGGCCATGTTCTAGAAGCATTCTCTCCTGACATTTCACCTGCATCTGTGACAGGCATCCTCAGAGGTTGTGAGGTCTGTTGGAAACTAGGCAAGTGGGGTTTATATATCTGTGGAATAATGTCCAGGGTGGACAAAAGAACTCTTGACTGTTGGAGGGAGGTGTGAATGTTGCAATTGGCCACTTCAATTAAATGCTAATCAAAGTGGCCAAGTGCAACATTTATACCTACCTCAAACAGACAAGAGTTCTTTCATCCAACATTGGACATTATCTATATAAATATTCGTTTGTGGGATTAACAGAACTCAAAAACCATTGGATGAATTGACACCAAATCTGGACACAAGACACCTAACAACCCAATGTGTGTCCTTCACTCAAAAAAATTGATTCTGTCATTTTGGAATTGTAGTTGCTGGGATTTATAGTTCACCTACAATCAAAGAGCATTCTGAATTCCACCAATGATGGAATTGAACTAACCTTGGCACACAGGACTCCCACGACCAATAGAAAACACTAGAAGGGTTTGGTGGGCATTGACCTTGACTTTGGGAGTTGTAGTTCATCTACATCCAGAGAGCACTTTGGACTCAAACAATGATGATCTGGACCAAACTTGGCACGAATATTCCATATGCCCAAATATGAACACAGATGGAGTTTGGGGGAAATAGACCTTGACATTTGGGAGTTGTAGTTACTGGGATTTATAGTTCACCTACAATCAAAGAGCATGCTGAACCCCACCAACGACAGAATTGGGGCAAACTTCCCACACAGAACCACCATACTTAAGGCTATCCAGTCTAACTCCCTTCATCAGGGCAAGAAAACATAATCAAAGTCCTCCTGACGAAGAGCCATCCAGCCATAGATATAGATCAGTGGTTCTCAACCGAGAGAGTATAGTATCATAGATTTGAAAGGGCCTCCTAAAGAAGGAATGATATGTTGCATGTTCCAGGGTGGGCAAACCAGACAATCTCCACATCAACACTGACAAAGAAATGCTGTTTACCCACAAGCAGAAAGACATGACATCTATTAGAAACCAACACTTTCTCATTACTTTATTTTCCAGATCATCAGACTGGGCCACAGCAATGCCTGGCAGGGGATAGCTAGTTCCATAGATATATAAACCCCACTTGCCTAGTTTTAAACAGACCCCACAACGTCTGAAGATCCTGCCATAGATGCAGGTGAAACATCAGGAGAGAATGCTTCTGGAACATGGCCAGGCAGCCTGGAAAACTCACAGCAACTCAGTGATTCCGGTCATGAAAGCCTTTGACAATACAATAAAATAACCTGTCAGTTCTACAGCTTTGAAGCCTTGCGGTGAGGATGGAAGTCTAGCATCTCTTTCAACAACTGACAGTTAATGGGCAACAGCCACTCTCAATCAAAAGGTTTTCTTCATCTGCAGAGAGAAGGAGAGTTGGCCCAACCTCCAATGGGAGAGAAGTCCACAGGATCTAAAGAATAAAACCTGGACCGGACCCACTCCCACATTCAATCATCTCCTGGATTCAACTGCAGGATATGCTATTTTTCCTGCCTTGCATCTCAATCTTTTGCTTCTCCTGAAGGAAAACACTTGCATGATTCTACCCCCAGAGCATCAGAGTCATCCCCAGAATAACTTGCCCAGAGAGGAAAGGCAAAGAAGAAGTAGAGGAAACCTTGTGGTGGGACCCCATGCCTACGTTCATTTCTCCAGCCAAGCCTAGCTGGTCAGAAGAAAGGCTCCCTCCTTGGACATTGTCTGTGTTCCCTTACTCACCCCGTTTCTGGCCATTGAGAGCAGAAGGAAGCCCAGTCCAGAGGACGAGGAGACCCAGGAGGACCAGTCTGGACCACATGGTGCCCTTTTGGGAAGCAG